GTTGAGAAAGTTGAGCGTGAGCCCCTCTCGTTTTCCTCAGAGCAGGCAATTGCGTCTGTTGTTGAAAGTGTGTTCTTGCAGACGAGCTTGTACCATGATGTTGAAGATGAGTCTTGGGTGAACTTGAGCATGCGTGGAAGAACCGTGTACGTGAGGGACGATACCACCGGAAAGCCAATTGATCCTGAGATGACGACCAAGGGAATGTGCAAGGAGATCAAGGCCCTTGATTCTCTTGAAGTTGGTGAGATGCGCTTGCTAAGAGCCACAATGTGAAAATCCTCAGTATCCGTTGGGTGTCTGTGGATAAGCGAGATGGTGAGACTAAGGAGAAGATAGTGAGATCTCTCATTGTGGTTCGTGACTGAGCAAGCGGAGGACCCACTGCTCAGGAGCTAGGGGTCAGCTCATGGACGTCGTCGAATGAAGCCTTCAGAACTTTCCTCGTCTTCATCTCCAGTCATGGAGGTGACATCATCCTTGCAGATGTGAGCACTGCGTTCTTGTTTGCTGGTGTTGTGAGCCCTGAAGCTACCACCCAACATCAGGTACAGGAAAGCTCTGTACGGGTTAAGATCAGCGTCGCTTGCTTGGTACCGCATGCTTGCTGAAATGGTTGAGTCGTTGGGGTTATGTGCTTGCGATACCGAGAAAACGGTGTTCACAGGCTGGTTTGTCTACGAGGGAGATCAGTACTACATGATCTTGCTGGTCTACGTTGATGACCTCATGATAGGGTGCTGGTCCACTGAAGCCGCAAAGCACTTTGTGAGTTTGTTGTCGAAGAAAGTGAAAATCAAGATCACAGGTGTCTTGTCAGTGGATCGGAAGGTCGAATTCCTTGGAAGGAGGATTCGAAGAGACCAGGAGACTGGAGGCATTCTTGTGAGCCTCCCAGAGGGTTATTTTCATTCCACGTAGATCTTCGGAAGATTCTGGATGATGGACTGGAGTCCCAGCAAACTCCGTTGAGCCCAGAAGCCTCTTCTAAGTACCGGAGTGCAGTTGGAAAGATCGCCTGGGGCGCTCGGACAAGGATTGACTTCATCTACTTTATTAGCGTGTTGAGCAGAGGTCAGTCGCAACCCCTTGCCGTCCACGAAGCTTGCTTGAGAGCTTTCTTGCATTACTTGATGTCGGTTGAATACTTTGAACAGTTGTTGTCCTGTGAAGGTTGCGAGGGAACCATTGTCGTGTCTGTTGACAGCAATTGGGCGTCAGAGAGGAATAACTCGAGGCGCTCGTTGTCTGGAGGCGTGCTTTTCGTCGACGGGGCCCCGGTGAAGGTCTACACAAGGCAGCAGACCTCAGTTGCGCTCTCGAGCGCAGAAGCGGAGTTAACCGCTATCTGCGAAGGCATGAAAGAAGGTTTGGGGCTGTTTGCTTTGATCCAGCATCTCTATAGACGTGCTGCGATTCCGGTTGTCAAGAGTGACGTGCAAGCCGCAATCAACATCAGCTCGATGTATGGGCTGTTGCGGAGGATTCGGCGCATTGACCTGAGGTTGCGCTGGGTTCAAGAGACTTTGAGGGAGCAGCGAGCGCTGCTCGAGTGGGTGCCAGGCTTGGAGAATGTTGCAGACATTTTCACAAAGAGTACGATCCAAAGGATCAGTTATGGTCGCCACTTGGAGATGTTTGGGATTGTCGAGAAAAGAGCACTTACGACGGTGTTTGAGTCAGGAGAAGGAGAATGGGATGACGAAAGAATCCGCGCAGTGTTTGGAAAGGTTGTATACTTGTCGGTGCTTGAAGAGCTTGAAAGTCGACTTGAAAGCGTCGATCCCTCAGTTGCTTGGCTTGTCGTTGAGTTCTGCACGAGTGCAGAGTCGAACATGGGCAAGGTTGCCTATGAGTTGCCTGGAGTGGAAGTGAAAGTTAAGTGATCAGGATCACTGAGAGAGAGCATGGTCTCGCCGACGAGACAATTGCCGTCCTGAGGAGGCGCGTTGAGCGATTGTGCCGCTCGGCAGTGAATGTGCTTATTTGGTCGTCGAATCCGTGCACAGGTGGTTGCACTTGGCAGTACATCCACCGGCAAAGAGAAGGATACGCGAGCCATCTTCGAAGGCTCTGGGGGATTCAGAGAGAGCTTTTCTCTGGGTTCCAGGTTCTCTGTCGAGAAGTTGAAGGTATGTCGGCTGGATGCTTGATTCCTTTCTTTGCCATTGAATGGCCGAAGACGTGCCAATACTGGCATTGGAAGACTACAAAGAACTGCTTGGTGAAGCACCACTGCGTTGTCGAGACATCGATTGTGCATGGTTGCTCCATTGAGTTGAGTGTAAATGCGACGGAGGCCACCCACACAGTGAGAGCTTTGACCTGAAGGAGACGCAACACTACACTGTCTAGAATGTGCAAGAGAATCTTGAGTTGCTTACCTTGAGCACTCGCCCGCCTTCTCAGAGCCGCTTTGATCTGAGAGGGGGAGCCTGAGACCCAGGGAAGCAGTAGAGAGTCGCAAGTTACCTTTACGACCTTGGCTCAAGACAGCGAGTGTGAAAAAGGAAAGTGTCCGAGCGTCCTGCGAGAGTTTCAGCTTGCTGCAGCAGTCGCTTGAGCTCCGAAGACTTTGCCTTGACACCTTGAACCTTGTAAAGTTTTGCTTGGTTTTTGTTGCAAACTGGGAGAACCTGAAGGGTGCCGACACTTTTCGGCGATCGGAAAGCAGGCGGCTGGAATGCAGTCCACGGAATCGGAATGCTTGGAATTCGGTTTCCTGTGCACCTGTTTGACGGCTGTTGTTAACTTTCTATCGCTGCTGAAGGAGACTAGCGTGGTACATACCTTCCCGACCTAGAACGCTTGTACAGCTCAGCCGCGATTGCACGTTTCATTCTGCTCCAACTCTTCGAAGTTGCCATTTGCAATGAGGTTTTTTGCGTACCTCATGTGAAACTTGAATGACTTGCCCAGGACCGTCACGGGAATCTGCTTGCGAGGTGCCAAAGTCCCACCATCCCTGAAACAGATCCATCATCGCTTGAGAGCTGGAGGAGGGCTTGACGAAGGCAGGCCATGACCATCATGCTTTGCACAAAGAGATGACCCAACTTGTGTACACGGGCTTTGAGGACGTGGGCTGTAGGACCACGAGAATCTATGACTCAGATGCTCAGTCCTTTTCATGCCGGCCCTTTGTCTGGCCATGTTCAAAAGCAGGTAGTTGGGGGAAAGAAGGGCCTGGACCGGCTTGCAGCACAAAGAGACACGACCATGCACTTCAAGGCAAGATGATTTCAACATGCTGGTGATGTCCCTTCGATGGCTTGGGTCCGGTAGATATTGCGCTCCAACCATGTCAAGGCCTGACTGATTATTCTGTGTTATTCCCATCGCGAAGCAAGAAGATGCATGATGCTCCGTACTTCTGTGTTTTTTCGCCGGGTCAGTGCAGTTCCTTTGGAACATTTTTTTTTGGGGGGGGAAGCTGCCAGGTGTAGGCAAGTTGCATTCGCCTCTACTTTGCCAGTCTACTCTAAACCCTAGACGGGTGTCTCTTGTGCGACTGTTGATGCATCGTGCAGTTGCTTGGAGGATTAGGCTCAGGAGGGCTGACAGGTGGTTCGCGGCTAAACTTAAATCACCCTCGATGCGGTCTGTGTGTAGTGAACTTAGTGAACATTCAACATCACGGCTAAGGATTTATGGGTTTAGGGTTTAGGGTTTAGGGAGCGGAGCGGTAGTCATCCCATGAGAGTCGCAGAGGAAGCAAAGCATGGACTATACACGATGCCATGATGTCTTCGAGGCTCTGGTTCCAAAAAAGCCCACGGAAGCCGGACTCTGAGCTCTAAAGCCCCAAGAGGCCTGGACATGAAGCCCTAAACTCCAGACGAGAATCCAAGCTCTCGAGCCTTAGGGTTTAGGGTTTTGGGTTTAGGGTTTAGGGTGCAATCTCCGAAGTTCCTCCCGAAATCTCGAGCACGTCGGGCGCCAGCCACGTCGAGAGGCCCGAATCCGTGCAGCTCACAGCGGAAACGTAGGATGGGCTTGTGGCTTGTTCGTTCAGAGGGCTCTGCAGCGCGCTGCAGTTGTTTGGCTGCCGCGGTTGTCGCATGCTCTGTGCTCCGGATCTTGAGATTGTCGACTGCAGCTGCGCAGAAGAGCACTCGAACTAGATAGATAGTTTCCCTGCGTGCTCGCTCTGGTCGCATGTCCATGGCAAACGGCCATAGTGGATCCCTGGCTGCTAGTCTGCAGACCGGCTTCCCGGACCACCCTCAGATGATGCCCCCCTACCCTAAACCCTAAACCCTGAAGCCTAAAGCCTAAACCCTAAGCCCTAAGCTCTCAGCCCTAAATAGAGAGTCGCCAAGGTTGGAGCGGAGATCCTGCACAGAACCATGGCGGAGGTTTCCAAGAAGCTGGGCTTAATGGAGAGCGTTCGCCACGTTTGTCAAGCCGTCCAGATCCCCCTGCCCGGAGTGGTCGTCGTGGGCGAGCAAAGTGCTGGGAAGTCTTCACTGTTGGAAAACATATCCGGAATTCAGTTTCCGCGTGCCCAGAACACGTGCACACGCATGCCATGTGTCTTGACGATGCTAACAGACCCAACCGTCAACGAGTCCTTTGCCCTTGTTTCGATGGATTCGAGCTTTACCGATGCAGCTTGCAGGACGCTAGCAAAACGTTTGTGCTTGGACGGGCATTTTTTTTGTCTGGACTTTCTGGCTTTTCCACGCTTGGAACGAAGTCTTTCTTGGTTTCCCTGTCCCTTCGCAAATGCCATGTGGTCTCAGGCGAAGAGATGTGCGGTGGCGGACGTGGAGGGGCGGATCAAGCAGCTGACGGATCAGCACACCACGGGTGCGGCGTTCATCTCCAGAGAGGTCCTGCGCTCAGAGTCGAGTGCTGAGCCGCGACCGTTCTACTACTCCACTGCTCCAGCCCTCAACAGTCTACGACTCCTAAGCTTGACGTTGAGCCGTGATGAGCTCTTAATGAGCCTTTATACCCGATGCTTAGTGGCTTAGTCCGAAAAGCGTTTTGGAGCCGGACAACTCCGTTTCTGGATGTTTCTGAAGAAGCAAGGAGTCAGGCTTGGCCTATTCTCATGATGTAGTCGGAGATTGTTTTTCATGCTACCAAAAAGACCCTCTCTCTAGAACAACCTCCGAAGCTCTCTACAAACCCGGAACCTCTCCGTACACTCGCTCAAAAATTGCAAAGTCTCTTAGTGGATTGCAAGTGAGCCTGGGCCCTGAATGCGCTGACTGAGCCCGAAGTTGAGACCAGAGTCGTTCTGCCAGGCTCTCTACATTCGAGTCGTTCGGCGAGATGGTCCGCAGCTGTCCTTGATCGACCTCCCAGGGGTAACGCACAACGCAGAGAAGATGTCCAACATTCACGAGGTGTGGGGTTTGAGGTTAGCACTTCCAACTTTCTACTGGGGTTCGTGGTCCGGGAGAGTTCTGGTTGGATGCAAGTGGGGCAAAGCTTCATGGCTGTTTTCTGATGGTCTTCAGGCGAGACGGCCATTACTTTTCAGGAGGGACAGCCAAAAGCCCACACCCCTTGCAGGTCACCGTGAGCCTCGTGAAGGAGTACATCGAGCCGGAGGAGATGGTGATTTTGTGCGTGATCCCGGCTATGTCCGATTTTGGCAATGCAGAGGCACGGAGTGTGTTCAGGGTTCTCTCCGTTGCGTCTGAGACCCTGTTTTTTTTTGTTGTTTTTCACCTTTTTTTCTGGGGGTTTTGCGCCATCCCCTTCCCTTCAGCGTTCTGACGTAGGTGGTGAAGTTGGCTCGTGAGTACGACCCGGAGGGCATCCGGACGCTCGGTGTTGTCACGAAGTGCGACGACGCAGCGAACGCTGAAGCATCTGACATTGTGGAGAAGGAGGGTCGTCTGACAAGTAAAGCTTTGACGTGGTAGCCTGTAGGAACACTGTAAGCCGGCGGAGCGGCTGTTCGGAAGGTCACAATGTCAAGGGACTCCGACGTGCGCCTTGCGTTCGGCTTCCATTGCGTAGTCAACCGGTCGCAGAAGAACATCGACGAAGGCATGAGCCGCGAGGATCTGTGGCAGAAGGAAGAGAAGACGTTCACGGCTTCGGAGCGCCTAAGAAAGCTCCCTGCAAGCAACTGGGGCACTCTCCGTCTCATGGAGAAGGTGGCGAAAATCCAGGAGGCAAGGGTGGATGAGTGCCTTCCGAAGATCAAGGAGTCGGTTCGCCAGAGGACCATCCAGCTGAGGGAGGAGCTCCGGTCTCTGCCGGCTCAGGCAGAGGCCGAGGGAGACCAGTTCAAGCTCTTCAACAGCACGGTGAGGCTGATCAAGGACTCAACCTGAACAAATCCTGGGCGCCCGTGGTCCGATACCTCAAGCCCCGAAGCTCCGGACGATCTCACTGCCCTAGTTGATCAGGAGAACCACACGCAGACGCAGATACAGACATAGACCTTGGCATAGAGACATGGACCTTTGCCTACACGGTACCGGTATACCTATGACCACGCCTATACCTACCCAAACATGCATGTCTACATGTGCCTATACCGGTACCCATCCCTATCTCTATACACATACGCATCGTGTCATGGAAACTCCCTGACGCACACTGCATCCTGGAATGTCAGGATGACCTTCAGCGTCGCATCCGGGCCGAGTTCATGAGCAGCGACGAATCGGATAGCGCCTTGACCATTGCGCCGCAGGCAGCGGGTGAGTGGGGCCGGCGGACCCTAAACCCTAAAACCCTAAAACCCCTAAACCCTAAGCCCTAAACCCTAAACCCCTAAACCCTAAACTCTAAACCCTAAACCCTAAACCTTGAAGCCGTTCCTTCAGCGGCTGTAGGCTTTCGGTCTTCCGGGTGCAGGACACCGTAGGATTCTTGTTTGGGTTTAGGGTTTAGGGTTTCGGGTTTAGGGTTTAGGGTTTCGGGTTTCGTTTAGGGTTTAGGGTTTAGGGGCCTGGGGAGAGTCTGGCATCTGGTGCCTGCATCGTGAGGGCCTTCTAACACTCAAAGGAGATCCCTCTGCTTTGTTCTTTCTTGTTGTGGCCGATTGCATTCCCGATCAGGTTGCCAAGAGGATCCAGCAATTCAGATGCTGGACCGCATTTGGTTATCAGAAGCTACAGCTCGAAGTTAAACCCAGCCAAGCCTTCCTTCTTGCTTGCCTCATGTGAGGCATGTTGCATCGTGTAACGGTTTGCGCTCTCAAGTCCGGGCAGTTTGGAGGTTATAAAGGCAAAGTGTACCTGAGTGCCTGCATGGGTGCCCGAAATGCTAGATTGTGCTAGATGTTTCTACTTCAGGGCCATGGACGGGACCTTCATTGGTGAGTCCAGGTTGTCACTTGTGTTTTGCAAGCTTCAGTTGTGCCGGGAAGTCAGCACCGTGTTCCCTCGGAGAACTCGAAACCCTGAACGCAGATACCTCACACCCCCCACCAGCTAGTACCCCAAACCCTAAACCCTAAACGCTAAACCCTAAACCCTAAGAAAAAACCCAAAGTCTCTAAACTCACAAGCTTCTAGACCCAACGCCCCGTCGTTCCGAACCGCTGAGCAACAAAGCCTGTCCCCTAAATCCTAAACCCTATGAGCTTACTGTGGATGATATAAATCCTGCATTACCTGAAGGGTCCTAAACTATGGGAATTATGGTCTATTCCTTTGTT